AATCTATATCTAGGAACGCGACAGCGCAGGCACTAAATTGTTGAGATACAATCGTTCTGGGCCACGATTGCTCGTCTGCCCTCACAATTCTATCGCGTACAGATATTGCAAGCTTTCGAGATACCGAAATATACTCTTGTGCGATTAACAATAAGATACTCGCATATAAAGTCACGTGCTTTGTGTCGAAACTTGTAATTGTAATCGCGCTTTTTGTGATCGCTTTACACAAAGAGATTCTTTTCCACGTAACACCAGACAGAAGGATTCAACGGATTTCCATTGGACCTAGCAAATCCATACGAAACATTCACTAATAATACAAATGCTGTTATTATTATTATTTCCAACAAAGAAAGATAAAGCATTTTTCTAGCGATCAAAATATGTCGCGTGAGCAAAATTTGACAAGATGAAATCGCAGAGATCGTATCACAGAGAAGAGAGGAGTTGTAGGAGGCAAAAGCGATAATAAACGACAAATCTTATGATATAATTAGTAACATTATAATTAATAACGTCATGTGATTCCAAATTACTTATTCTAAGAACTTTGTGGATTATATGCATATTCTTTGGACTGCTACAAACTATAGATTCATCTTTTGATGCCTCCTTTTTTTAAAGAATTATGTCTCTTAATATATTTTTTATCTTTTCAACCCCTCTTTCTCTTGCTTCTCGTCGCCAATAAGGAGAAAGCCATAAATTTCCAACTATTAATTATTGCCGATATCAATGTCGAGCTCGATGTACATTTCCATCTGAATGTTTAATGAATTTAATTTATCAATACACAAACATGAATATCAGATTTCGAATTGTGATTATATATTTACTTATTCTCGAGCTCGGCGTTAGCGATAACTTTGATTGCGAGAAGGGACGAATCTGTTATGTGAGTATTAACACTAAATATTAAAATGTCGATATACGTATCATTGCGATACGTATATAAAACAAAATAGAAATATACATGTCTATTGGTCATTCTACGAGTTTTACTCATTTAATTCGATAGAAACAATAATGCCTCATATAGATTTCTATAGAAAGCTGTGGAACAGCAAGCTACAAGATTTCAAAAAAGATAAAAAATTTTTATTTAAATAAAATTCCTTGAATAAAGATTTTCTAAAATTGTTTAGAGTTTTCTGAGAATTTGCAATTATTTTCAATTTTTCTGATAATATGTATAGTAGTATATATCTTGTAATAAGATATACACTTTTGAATGGAACTCTTTTTTTTTTTCTCTTTCTCTTATATTTCTCTTTCAAATTTTCTATTGTATTCTAATTTTCTTCGCTAATATTTAATGTGGATATTGTAACAAACTCTCAAAGTAGGCAAAAAGAATTTCTAAACATCAAAAAATTTCTCTTACAATAAAGGAAAATTTTTATTCTTAAGCAGTACCTTTCTTCTGTGAAAGTTTGGTGCATACCTCGAGGAAATGTCGTCTACTCGTGCTGATTATATTTAATTGGTGTAATTATATATATCATTCAGTGCTATGCTTATGATTGTATATGGCTTAATATTCGTGAGATGCACTCTTCATCTCCGCGTGGCACCGTCTTAGCGAATCCGGCAACGCACTTCGTTTTCAACTTCGCACCTCCAAAAACGTGTGTCGCGCTCTGCTCTGGTCCCTTTCGTGTTGGCTTATCGCGAGCTAATCGAGCCGCAGCATCGCTGTCGATGTAAAGGATTTAATAATCGTTGATCCCGCGATCGTCGTTCTGCCGTGTCTCGATGCTGCGTCACATACCGAAAAAAAACTTTCAGGGAAAAGGCATACGCGTCTGATTTTATCATATCGACGCTGTGAATGACTTGTCCTCGCTTCAATCCTTAATGTGATCTATGATTTGTGAATCGACTGGTTAGCACTAAGCGAAGAAAACTATTCGCTTTAATTTGCTGTTTATACTTTTCTCTTAAGAGTAACGAGATCTTCTAATTGCTGTATATGGACCAACAATTTACAGTCAATTGCAACCTTTTTTTTCATAACTTCCTTAATGAACCATGTTATATTACTGGATATATTCGCTCTTGATATATCCTTTGCGAAATATTTTATGAGCGTGTATATTGCGTTCTCTATGCAACTTTGATGTACTGGATATTAGCATATGATGATACACCAATTACTTGTTACGTATGTTACATACATTTTCATTAAACAAATCGAATGCGGTGTTCGCAACCGCTTGGTCTGAAAGGCCTTTGCATTACAGGTATGTTTCGAAATTGCCGCAAATGTTACATTGGCGCATTTTGATTCCTGAAATAATTAAGTAAATCATGAAGTAAAAGGACGAGAAACTGCATCAAACGAGTAACAGAATTACATTGTCACAGTATAAAGAGATATGATAATTTTCATCTCTCTCATTTTAAATTCTCTCAATTTATTGCACCGGACTTTTTTTTCATCTTTTTAATAATGTTCTTCAAACAGAATTTCTCCCGAAATATTTTCTACGAAATATTTCATAACTTCGTGTAAACAATCGTATTGGATCGCGTGTACCGAATCGCTTTTTTGCTAAACAATTCTCTGTTCTTAAGACAGCTCATTAACATTCCGTCAAGTTAATATAAACAATTAAACTTGATGTCAATACGACTAATATCACTAATCGGTCAGTTTTAGTTACAACTATTGCTAAAAACATCATAATAGGCGTTACTGATAGTTTACGTTTATTTTTTTAATGAACTATATTTCTTTTCTATTTCTTTGAGATGGTTTTTCTATCAGCAAATAAGAAACTTAAATAAAAATCAATGTTCTTGACGATCATTCAATTACGTTTTATTATAGATTACGTTCTATTAAATAGAGGAATACCGAATTATATCAAAAGAGAAACACGCTGAAAAGACTTCTCGCAATTAATCTAATCGGATGGTTCTCCTACTAAAGCAGCATCAATACATACATAGGCGATCCCAATTACTGATAATTTATACCTCCACCTCGTCGAGATCTTGACATCAGTCGAGATCTCAAATCGTCGATATTTCGTCGCGATTTAGGCGAAGTATTTACCAATGATATTTGCATTATCGAACGTTAAATTTTCGTTCCTCAACCCACTGAACGGAAACATGGAGACCGAGCTGGCCAATTTATACGCGCGGGTCGAAGATTTATTTACGGACGGCGAACTATGCGATGTAGCGCCGCGTTAATCTACGTTGGGCTAGTGATAAACAGGAATGTGTTGTCGATCAGATTGTTTGTGCTAAGACGGTCCTATTTTATGCCTTCGCGTTGCGAATCTCGATGGTGACGTTCTCCAGGACCGGTTCGGCGACGTTGTTCGTATGATTCGGAGATTTATTAGATTTCACCGAGGCGGCTGAAGCGTTCCCGCTGCTGTTGTGACTCCCACGTCGCGATCCTGTGCGTGACCCTGGCGACAGAGATTTTCTTGCTAAAGTATCGCGTGCTTTGGCACGACAGCGCGGCAGCACGACACGAAAAGCCAGAATAACTTTAAGCATGAAGACCTGCGCGGAAGAAATGCATTAGTCAAAGTAAAATAGTCAATCGTCACAATGTCGAGTAAATGCACGTGTTGAATGCGCGCGCGCACATGTTTGTATGTACATATGTATGCGGCATGTATAATGAATATGTGCATGCTATACATTTTTTTCTAGCGAACGAATTTATGCCCCGAACGCTTGAAAGATACTCGGCAAAAATGTGCTTTACGGGATCTTTTTTTATGGGCACTTTTTCTTCCTCAAAACATATAAATACTTTTATTAATTTAATTATTAATTTCTTCAAAAATAATTACAAATACATTTATTTTTAATATCATTTTTTGAGTTATAAATTAGTGAATTATTGTTAGGCTAAGTTTGATTTAACAATTAAAATAACATTAATAAGCAATCAAGAACTAACAATTTGTTTCTAAAATAATAATTTATGCACAATGATTATATATAAAAAAAAATGATGAATTTTACGGAAGTTTAATCTCGTGCCGCACATAATTTTAGCTAACTCTATCTAAAAAGAATTAAGATGACCTTCGTTGTTGGTATGAAATGAAAGGTTCCTTTAATTGACAAGTATTTCATGAGAATATTGCAAGTTTAATAATTGGCTCAGCGTGTTTATAAACTTTGCGAAAACGTGAACACACGAATGTAAGTGCACTTTGCGCATAATACATAGAATGAATTGCATTATGTATTCTCTACTTCTCGCATTGAGAGGGAATAAAAAAGCCTTTTATGAAATGTGTATGATCAAATTAAAAGACAACTTTTTGTGATTTTTCTTATATTAATCTTTTTATATAATCTTCTTATATAACAATATAATAAAATTATAAAAAATAGGTAAATTCAATGAAACTTAAATTATTTAATATTAGAGTGTTCTTATTCCCTCTCAATAGATATTGTATGTATAGTTATACTTCTTCTCATCAAAATGTTTCTACATGTAGTTACTACTGATGAGTGGAATGTCTCTATGAATGAATTATCGTGCAAATGCAAACAACGACATTTTACTATAGCAAGCAACTATATTCGCAAATGTCAATAAACTATGCTTACAAAAAACTTCTTCTAATATAACTCAAAAGTTATAAAATCGAAGTTGCAACGAATCCTCAATAGG